AGTACGCATAACAGTGTGATACATTTCCATGTAGAAAAATTATACGTATTTGTCATCTCGATTTGCCTTTGTGTTACGCACTGGTGCAAGATTGTACAGTATTTGCCATGGTGCCAAATTTGGATATTGTATATATCGTATCAGAACAAAGTACACTAAAAATTCAAAGTTGTGAATCTGATTTACTAACGCTAATATGTTAAAGCTTAAATCAAGTAATTAATTAATTGATAATTAGTACTTTAAGTATGTGATTACTCAGTCAAAATGAGGCTAAATAGCCAAGGTTCCCTTCTCGACGTATCATAAACGAATTTCACACAACATATACTTTTAGAAATGTACTAAATGTACTCTTTTGTCATGTAGCATACGAAATTTCCAAAAAGGGAAAGTTCGCTATTTTTAACCGTGTCACAAATGATAAGTCTTCGTATCAAAAACCACGTGAACTTACATTTGAATGTGGGAGATATTTTCGCATAACGAAAGCGAATGTCTAAAAAGGTTCACACTCTCAATAACGAAATAATTGTGCGATTACGCATCATAATGAATCGTGCACACGTTACGCGTGTCTGACACGAATTAGACTTTAATAAACACGTAATTATGTGGAAAGTATACAGGGTTAAAATGATTAAGGAGTGTAAACCAAGAGTTTAGTTAGGATGTAAACCACGAATGTGGTTAGGATACAACCCATGAGTTTGATTAGGGTTTAACCCATGAGTTTGATTAAGGTTTTAAGGTGTGACCATCGAATTTAGTATTCAACATTGCCACCTCCAACAGCACTCCAAAACAACGCCCATGTTCTTGTTAATCCATCGTCCAACACCAAATCCGGATTATTTAAAAAGAATTGATATGCTTCCTCGGGATTTATCTGAGCGTAGTTAACGTACAGAATGCTCTTCCACGAATCAGACGCGGAGTTGACTATTGCAACAAGCTTTTGTTTCCATTCCTGGGTTATCTTTTTTTACAAATTCGAAAATATATAAATGGATGATTGGGTGAGGAATGAAACAGAAGAAGTATCACAAACACCTACAAAATTTCTTGAGCGCGTGTACGGGGTTATTGGAGTCGCAGGTAACATCTGAATACCATGTATACACTCTGTCCCCAAAAATAAATGAATTATATCTTTTTTCATATCGAATCAAAAAGAAAAAAATAAGTACCTACCAATTTTTGGACTAAAGTAGGTAGCGTAGTCCACTTTATTCTCAAACAGTATTCCGGTTACCTTGTTTCCCGAAAATTGAGATGGGTGATTCTGGTTACCGTCTTCCAGCAAAAAATAATTTCTTATCGACCGTCGTAGTATTGCCAGCATCATGTTTGCCAACTTGGTTACTTTCTTCCGTTTCGATGTCAAGCCATAGAGTTTCATGGAGTAATAAAAATTCACATCTTCACTGGTGGACTCTTCGTCCTTTCCGTCAGCCGACGGGAATATTCCTTTAGCCCAAGAGTGACCAACATACCAATCGAATGCGCGAAACACAGGGAAGTGAGGATCGACATCGGAGGGATTTGCTACGTCACGGACGAGAGCCGTGATCCAGGGATCGTTTGTAATGCCCCAAGATTCGTCAAGGTGACTGAGGATTGAAGCGGCAAGGATCAGGTAGCCATAATGAAAATGATGGTCGCTACGAAATATGAAACAAACGATTACTGTACAATACCCACGCGGCGATGTTCACCAATGAAAAATAATAATCTAAAAGACGTACTTGTACCAAGTATTTCCAAAATCTGCTTCGGGTCCTATGGTAAAACCACTTATGGCGACCACACCTTTCCAAGTGGTTTCGTAAACGAGATTG